TGGGGGCTGCTGGGGGCTGCTGGGGGCTGCTGGGGGCTGCTGGGGGCTGCTGGGGGCTGCTGGGGGCTGCTGGGGGCTGCTGGGGGCTGCTGGGGGCTGCTGGGGGCTGCTGGGGGCTGCTGGGGGCTGCTGGGGGCTGCTGGGGGCTGCTGGGGGCTGCTGGGGGCTGCTGGGGGCTGCTGGGGGCTGCTGGGGGCTGCTGGGGGCTGCTGGGGGCTGCTGGGGGCTGCTGGGGGCTGCTGGGGGCTGCTGGGGGCTGCTGGGGGCTGCTGGGGGCTGCTGGGGGCTGCTGGGGGCTGCTGGGGGCTGCTGGGGGCTGCTGGGGGCTGCTGGGGGCTGCTGGGGGCTGCTGGGGGCTGCTGGGGGCTGCTGGGGGCTGCTGGGGGCTGCTGGGGGCTGCTGGGGGCTGCTGGGGGCTGCTGGGGGCTGCTGGGGGCTGCTGGGGGCTGCTGGGGGCTGCTGGGGGCTGCTGGGGGCTGCTGGGGGCTGCTGGGGGCTGCTGGGGGCTGCTGGGGGCTGCTGGGGGCTGCTGGGGGCTGCTGGGGGCTGCTGGGGGCTGCTGGGGGCTGCTGGGGGCTGCTGGGGGCTGCTGGGGGCTGCTGGGGGCTGCTGGGGGCTGCTGGGGGCTGCTGGGGGCTGCTGGGGGCTGCTGGGGGCTGCTGGGGGCTGCTGGGGGCTGCTGGGGGGCTGCTGGGGGCTCAGGATCCCCAGACAGCTAAGCCCCTCGGCGCCCCCAACGGGGGGGGGGGGGGGGCTGCGGGGGTTCTGGGATCCCTCGCAGCCCCACCCCTCAATGGGCAAGGGGCATAAAAGGGGACCTCCACAGCCGATCTGGGACCAGTTGAAGACCGAAGCCAAAGACCAGCAGGTAGATAGGACCCTGTACCCCCTCGCCCCACTGTCCTTGTCAGGGCCGGGACGCTGTGCGGGCCAGTGGTGGGACTCTGGGCCAGTGGTGGGACTCTGGGCCAGCGGTGGGACTCTGGGCCAGCGGTGGGACTCTGGGCCGGTGGTGGGACTCTGGGCCGGTGGTGGGACTCTGGGCCGGTGGTGGGACTCTGGGCCAGTGGTGGGACTCTGGGCCAGTGGTGGGACTCTGGGCCAGTGGTGGGACTCTGGGCCAGCGGTGGGACTCTGGGCCGGTGGTGGGACTCTGGGCCGGTGGTGGGACTCTGGGCCGGTGGTGGGACTCTGGGCCGGTGGTGAGACCCTGGGCCAGTGGTGGGACTCTGGGCCGGTGGTGGGACTCTGGGCCGGTGGTGAGACTCTGGGCCGGTGGTGAGACTCTGGGCCAGTGGTGGGACTCTGGGCCAGTGGTGGGACTCTGGGCCAGTGGTGGGATTCTGGGCCAGTGGTGGGACTTTGGGCCAGTGGTGGGACTCTGAGCCAGCGGTGGGACTCTGGGCCGGTGGTGAGACTCTGGGCCGGTGGTGGGACTCTGGGCCGGTGGTGAGACTATGGGCCGGTGGTGAGACTCTGGGCCAGTGGTGGGACTCTGGGCCAGTGGTGAGACTCTGGGCCAGTTGTGGGACTCTGGGCCAGTGGTGAGACTCTGGGCCAGTGGTGGGACTCTGGGCCAGTGGTGGGATTCTGGGCCAGTGGTGGGACTTTGGGCCAGTGGTGGGACTCTGAGCCAGCGGTGGGACTCTGGGCCAGCGGTGGGACTCTGGGCCAGTGGTGGGACTCTGGGCCAGCGGTGGGACTCTGGGCCGGTGGTGGGACTCTGGGCCGGTGGTGGGACTCTGGGCCGGTGGTGGGACTCTGGGCCGGTGGTGAGACCCTGGGCCAGTGGTGGGACTCTGGGCCGGTGGTGGGACTCTGGGCCGGTGGTGAGACTCTGGGCCGGTGGTGAGACTCTGGGCCAGTGGTGGGACTCTGGGCCAGTGGTGGGACTCTGGGCCAGTGGTGGGATTCTGGGCCAGTGGTGGGACTTTGGGCCAGTGGTGGGACTCTGGGCCGGTGGTGGGACTCTGGGCCGGTGGTGAGACTATGGGCCGGTGGTGAGACTCTGGGCCAGTGGTGGGACTCTGGGCCAGTGGTGAGACTCTGGGCCAGTTGTGGGACTCTGGGCCAGTGGTGAGACTCTGGGCCAGTGGTGGGACTCTGGGCCAGTGGTGGGATTCTGGGCCAGTGGTGGGACTTTGGGCCAGTGGTGGGACTCTGAGCCAGCGGTGGGACTCTGGGCCAGCGGTGGGACTTTGGGCCAGTGGTGGGACTCTGAGCCAGTGGTGGGACTCTGGGCCGGTGGTGAGACTCTGGGCCGGTGGTGGGACTCTGGGCCGGTGGTGAGACTCTGGGCCGGTGGTGAGACTCTGGGCCAGTGGTGGGACTCTGGGCCAGTGGTGAGACTCTGGGCCAGTGGTGGGACTCTGGGCCAGTGGTGAGACTCTGGGCCAGTGGTGGGACTCTGGGCCAGTGGTGGGATTCTGGGCCAGTGGTGGGACTTTGGGCCAGTGGTGGGACTCTGAGCCAGCGGTGGGACTCTGGGCCAGTGGTGGGACTCTGGGCCAGCGGTGGGACTCTGGGCCAGTGGTGGGACTCTGGGCCGGTGGTGAGACTCTGGGCCGGTGGTGGGACTCTGGGACTCCCGGCCCCGTGCCCTTTTAAGGGCGTGGGGCCGAGGAAGCCAGAGTCTAGACCCGCACCTTGGCTGGGTGGGGTCAGGGTAGCCTCCCCTAGGGTAATTATAGCGGAGGACCCCAGAGCGTAGCCAGTGTCACGGCACGCTAGGAGTCGGCTGTGTCCCTAGGCTGTAACAGTGTATCAGGATGACTGTTGGAGTGCTGTATTGTAATAAAGAAGTTGCCTATACAAAGTGTCTCCGGAACCCATTAGACTTTCATTATTTATGTGGAGAGACAGATATGTGCAGGAGACCTGTTGTCTGCTCTGTGGTTCTTTCGGTAAAGTCACGTAGAAAGAAAATAAATAAAATAATAGAATACGATGTTTAGATTGCAACACAAGCAACCGTCATCAGGTAGAACTAAATTTGAGAAAGAGACAAAACACAGACACGGAGACACACAGACAGACACACAAGCAGAGAGAGACAACACAGAGACACACAGAGAGACACACAACACAGACACACAGACAGTCACACAAGTAGAGAGCGACAACACAGAGACACACAGAGAGAGACACATACAACATAGACACACAGAGACCCAATGCCTCTGTGTCGAGGCCTTAAATAGAGAGGGGGGGGGGCAGAGAGAGAGGTGGGTCTGCTGAGGCAGACCCACCATGTCAATGAAAGACCCAACAAGACTGGTACATTTTAGAGAGAGTTGGGTGGAATTCCACCCCGAAGCGACCGAAGGAGAGATGGGTTGAACGGCCCTATGAGAGCCTGGTAATTTTAGAGAGAGAAATAGGCAGTTTGAGAAAACAAAATTTGATTAATTTTTGGGAAATAATGCAATGCAAGACAGAGAGTCGGCTAACACACAGTTAACGCATAGCCTGGTTGATTATGATCTCCAAAGATTGCTAAATTTGAAGTTAAGTGTGAAATTTGACAAACAGAGACACACAGAGAGAGTGGGAAAACAAACTTACATCCTCCCCGTAGAGGTGGTTCAAACTTGATTTGAAGCTTTCGTGACTGCAGGAATTACTCTTTGGTTCATTCGGTAAAGTCAGGTAGAAAGAAAATCAATTAATTGTCTCTCTCTCTCAAATTTAGTTCTACCTGATGACGGTTGCTTGTGTTGCAATCGAAACGTCGTATTCTATTGTTTAATTTATTATCTTTCTACGTGACTTTACCGAAATAACCAAAGGGTAATTTCTGCAGTCACGAAAGCTTTAACTCAAGTTTTCACACCTGTTGTCAGCTTGACTATTTTGTCACTGATATTCACCACAAGAATGCTCATGATTTTTTAGTGATATTTTTTTATCACCAATTAATGGCAAATATGAGATAATCTATTCCAAGTGATGTAGCCATTCAATTGCTCTGTATAAAAGTACAGTATGTGAATCGTAGCACACACACACCACCTTCCAATTCATATTTGGCACAGTCCATAATTTGGTATTCGTAACCAAAGTCGTACACGGGGAGTCCTTGATTTTTCCACTTGATGTATTAGGTATCCATATATGTTGCTAATTAAACAAATGCCTCACTAAGAAAGCATTGACTAGAGGCGTGGACATGTGATAATATCTCTGTGTACGCTATTGTGGCTTTAGTAACCTGATTTTCGTTATATATTTTGTTATGCGACCAGGGATGTTGATTGGGGCTCAGAATCATAGCAGTTTGGATACAATAGTTGGTGGTGATGCTGCTGCTGCGTTGGCAGTTAAGCACAAACACAACGAACAATCAACTCAACACATTACTCAATAACACTGCCTTAAATTAAAGTATTTTTTTGCCATTAAATATTTGTTATTTTACCAGGTAAGGCCCACTGAGCCTACGTAGCTATTTTTCGGAAGCGACCTGGCCATCACAAATGACAGCTCAACGAAGTTGGCTTATCATCGTGTGGACATTTGTAGCAGCCGAATATTCTAAACGCGTGGCGTTGATTCTAAATGTGGAGAGAATAACCCGGAGGAGAAAAATCCACGCGACCACGGGGAGAGAGAGACACCGCAGACTCCAAATATACAGCAGCAGCAGGCGTCAAAGGTCGGGGTCAAACTCACGACCTCCTATATACCTCGCGAAGTAGTTAACATCTCATAGCCACCGTGATGATGTTAGGCGACTATTCGGATTATAATGACCGTTCAGTCATAACACACACACACAAAAAAACACGTTGCCATATAAAACATGTTCTCGTTTAAAACACCGTATCGGCTGTGAAGAAGGGCCATTGCCCGAAACGTCGCGTATTTTTTTTATTGTTTTGTTCCGTTAAAGTGAGTTCGCATGTCTTTCTCTCTCTCTCCCTCTCCGTGGTCGCGTGGATTTTTGTTTGTCCCTCTCTCTCTCCACATTGCGAGCCGCCAACACCAAACAACAGAGCACTTGGCCTCCCGCTATAAAACGTGGCGGCGTCATTGAGCGGGAGAGGGGATTCGTTGAATGTGTTCGCAGCAGTTTGTACGGTCTGCCGAGCGACACCTAGCGACTGTCTGAGAGCTCTTTCTCATCTCTCGAGGGACTTTTACGATTGAACCAAGGAAGCTGGGACACACAAGCATAGCACTGTAAGTCAAGGGGTGTGTGTGTGTGGTGGTGGTGAGGGGAATGTAACAACAGTGGCGTTCGATTTCCCGCTATGGAGTCAGCGGCAGCGGCGTCTCCGGGCCGCGTCTCGCACCCGCTTTCCGACGACTCTCCACTGCTGGAGGACGAGGAGGAGGAGGACGACGACGATATGAAGGAACACGGGGCCACTGGCAAGGTAAGAACAGACCAAGTACACCGCGACGCGCTGTAACAATGGTGATGATGTGGTTGGTTGCGTGCGCGGGAGAGGTCGGTGGTGACCACTGTTTTGTATCTCGTGTGTGTGTGTGTTTTCGGCGCCGCGGCGGCGGCGGCGTTGGCTGGCTCTTGCCTGGGATGGGCGCTCGTGCCCGGTAGGAGGAACTAGGCAAGGCGGGATGCCTCGCGCGGCCTACTCGGTCTTTTTTTTGTTTGGTTTTGTTTCAAGCCAATATAAAATTGTTTTTCAAAGTCGTCATCATTATCCATGATAAATCGACTGCTGGATGAATATCTTCCCATCGTTGTCGCCACACCGCCGCCCCCCCCCACCTCACGATCCTACGATGTAAATATTCAACCTCGTTGCTGCAACACGAGCTTAATTCATCGCTCCATCTCCCAGGTGGTCCGGATCGGACGCGCGTCCCATCGCACTGGGTGGCTCTCTCCCGTGTCGTCCTCAATCGCGATACGTATCTTTAAAAGTGTAGGGTTGTGTTGAAATGAGTGCGGGTCCCGTGCTTATGTAATCGCAGGACGCGGAAATTCCACGTTTATGTGGCGGGGATGATTTACAGGGAACAGCCACTGGGTTGTCCGCTTTACCGACCAAATCCACTGCTGAATGAGGGGCCCCACTCCACGCTGATGCGCGCGTGGAGATTACTTCACAAAGTAGACCTTTTCTGCTTTGTTTTAATGCTCCACACAACTTAGCTGTGTTTTGTTTTTTTAACAGCACGTTGGACATACCATCCATTACAAGGGGAGACGTGCTTGTGTGAAATAACTGAAGGATTTTGCTCTTCCCCCCCCCCACACAAAGTTAAGGGCAAAAAATAATTTCAAATACTTTTATGCGACTGGCCACAGGGAAAAATGAATTATTCAGGAAGACAGGTTTTTTTGGGGGGGCGTTGTTAGATCGTCTAAATATATAAATGCGTCGTTAAACCGGCCACCACCCGACACAGCCAGTTAGTAAGGTTTGTCACGTAAACAGAACATACCAATTCGTTACTAGTAAATCACACAGGTGTGTTGGAGAGCAAAGCCACGACATGTACAATCTTGAGTACGACGTTTCGCCAGTAATTACAACTAGCTTCATCAGCCTTAGCTGAACTTAGGTTGGCTGTGTCGTGTGGTGGCGGGTTTAACGACACATTTATGTGATCTAACCCAAAAAATAAACTGTGTTATGGATGATATTAGTCGCTATAGCCTACGTGTTAAACTATCCAGGAATACCTGATCAATTTTAGTTGACAGTGATGATGACGATGTTTGACTGAGATGTGCCTATCGGTATTCGGGTAATATAGGAACATCTGAAACCTCCACTTATCCATCGCCATCCACAGCATGGGGAGGAATCCTTCATCCAGCAATGGATTGGCAAAGAGGCTGCTGAATCTTTGGGTGCCACTCAATATATGCAATGTGGAAACGTGAAGTTTACATTTTTCCCTGGATTACGATACACCTCAATTAGTTACCTTTCTTCTAAAAGTCAACAGCTGGAAATGGCATTCTAATCTGTTAATATGTAGGGGTTTTCTTAGGGCCCCAACGTCTCTTCTCATCTGTGCCTATTCTTCTACTGAACGTGTTGATTGTAACCGTGTTTCAACGCCGTTGAGTAATCAGTACAATTTGAGAGATCATCTGTAATCTGGCAGTGCTTTAGTCTAACAAGCAAATTATTTAAACCAGGTCTGACGCTGGCACCCCGCTGTACATATTACACAACACTAAAACGTTTCACGCCCTTTATTTATCTGGGGCCGTGTAAAGTGGGATTATAATGCTTGTATCTCAATCACCTTTGATACCAGCGAAATGTGTATCTCCAATGTTCATGGCATATCAGGAGTATTGGATACCGTGATGGGTTGCTGGTGGTGTTGTGGAATAGGCCTTCATCTAGCAGCGGATCCGACAAAGGGCTGTAAAATATCGTTGTGGTATTTGGGTAAATATTACATGACGAGGTAATAACTTTACGTTTTCAACAACAAAATGGCCTTCCTTGTAAATGATTTGCCATTGTCTTTAAACGCCACTGTGCCGAGAGACGGGCCTTTCCTGGTATTGTAATTCCCAGTAGATATTGCTGGCTGTCACGTTCTCCAAACGGTTTTGCAATGAAAGCTGATTACTGTGCAAATTGTTCTGTGCTCTGCATTGTTTATAAGGTGTTACCACAGTGGTTTACATGGATTTTCAGGTGAGGCTTATATCACATGTTTCTCTGGTACAATTAAATACACTCTGGCAAAGTGTTGTCGATCCAGGCTGCGTTGTGGTGGAGTGGCTGAAATAAATTGTAAGTAATTGGTGCCATTACTGTTCCTCCTGTTGCTTGTCCATTGTTCCTCCTAAATGTCACGTTTTTAATGCTCGATGTATTCATCAACATCACGATTGCCATCAGCCATAATATATCCACTGCTGGATAAAGGTCTTGTGGTTTTTGCAGCAACAAAACCCGCTATGCTTATTCCACTATGCAATAAGGAACAGTATTCGAATATGCAATGCTTGATAGAATATTAAGTCAATCCTATATTTTTAACAATGCAAAAAAAGACTTCTGCTATGTGTGGTTATTAGATACTGTATATGTCTGGCATGCCTTTTTAGCAAAGCAAACACATACTAGGATATTCCTCTTATTGTTCACTGTTTTGTAGTCACAATGTATCGAGCCAGCCTATTGAACATGGTGTTATATGTATTGTGATCGCACAGGCAGATACATATTACATTATGGAAATAAAAGGTTAATAATGTCTGGGATTGTGATTTTATCTCCTTTTGGTGCCAAATTATTTTTCAGGACAATATTAGCTCCGTACTCTTGGTGTTGCTCGCAAGCAAGTTCTACTGGCTGCTGTTTTTCACACGGCATTGGAATTACTTGTTGCCTCCGCTCTGCTCACAAGTGTTTAAAGTGTAATACACTTTTCACAGTGCTGAGCACAAGTGAACTCGATCTCCCTAAAGTAGCACCGATGTCACAGTCTTAAAATTATTGGTCACTACACGGAAGTGAGCCCACGTCAGTGATGGGCTGTAGTTGTTCGTCTGTCTAGATGCCACTGTAGCCTGTCTTAAATTGAGCGTTGTGTCGGTTTATTTGTTTGGGGCATTACATTTAATGTCCATAATTAAATATGTTATGACAAGCCTAATTTATTCTAAAAGTTGCTTTCCCCGTTATGACCAGACGAATTGTTGCACTTGAATGCCACTACATCTAAACGTTCTTTTTAGTATGCCACTTACACGGCTTTCAGTATGACAGTCACTACTGCCATTAGGTTAACTGCAGAAATATAACCGTGTGAATGGTGGCGGTGGTTTTGAAGATGCGTCTTAACCATGCAGTGCGACACGTAATGTATTGGGGCCATAAAAAGTCCCAATACAGTATGTTAGACAGTTGACTATTGATGTGGTTAAAATCGTATGTGTCCGATGGAAACGTCGCTCTGTGTTGCACACATTAGATGGCTTAGTGTGCCTGATGCTTTCGTCCGCAAGATGGGCTGAAGTGTTTATTGTATCGTGACATACTTTGCATGGTAGCCACCTGTCAGTTTTGTGCTTGAGGGGTGGTGAGGCACTTTGGTCAGTTATTCATTTGAGCCTGGATGTTAAAAGTCCCAAAGGGCCCGGCACTGTGGCAATGTTTGTCATACCGTAGCCTCGGTACACAGTTTGCACTCTGGTGATATTGAATAGAGTTGAAACGCAACGAGAGGTGTGGTGAATTTATATATTTTTTATTAAGTCAGATGGATGCTTGCCTTGGTGTTAAGGGTTAGTACAATGCACTTGCAATCCAGAGGTCGCTGGTTCGATCTGCCAACAGTCGGAACGTTTCTTAAATCTTCCCCACCTCTGTCCACCCAGCATTATAAATGGGTATGCCACATTTAGCCGATGGGCAGGTCGCTTGTGGTGGAGTAAAGTGTGGGTAACCCAATCTCTTCCAAGACGCCTAACCAGCATGAAAGAGTAGACCCAGATACTTCGAGAGAGAGCTCCCTACTTGCTCACAGTGGGTTTGGTAAGTAACTGCTAACCTAAGTTCAAACAGGCGTTTAGAGTTCACGTGCACAAGCATTATCCATGATCGAAGGTCACGTCGCATAGCTAATAACTGCCTGCTGTGCATTTGCGGGGCTCAAAAGTAACTTGAGAGTTTGCCTCGGCTCGTATTGACACGCCACGTGCAGCCAAGATGTCTAAAATCAATACTTTGCACCTCTCACTTGAATTCGATTGAAATGTGACCTCTTGTTCAGCTTGCAAAGCATTTAACAAACAGGATGTTTTGAGGGAATTGCTTTACAATGTTATAGGAGACGCTCCTTTTAAATGAGGTAATATGCATAATTAACAATATGCGCATTCTACATTTCTGGTAATCTTAACATTGTGGACCCATTGGTGAAACTGCGTATTGCGTCTGGACGTTATATGTATCCTAACGCTGGTTAACTTTCACGATTCCTAGCATGGAATCACAATTGCTTTCTTTCCTACGCAATTGCGAATTCACAAGGGCCGTGGAATCATTGGGGCGGTTGGGGATTCAAGGCCTCCTGCTTTGCATTCAGACAGTCAAAAAAGCAAGAGAGAGAGCCTGTGGGACCTGTCCAGCCGAGTGGAATAGCCGTTGAGACGTATGGCCGATGAATATATATAAATACATTTCCATGGCGATTTTGCTTGAAAACCTACTGGCCGGTATCGACCAGAATCGCAATTTATACAAATCGTATGGAAGTTGATTTTGGGCTTAGCAAAGCTTAGCCCAAAACTTAGTGATGCTACACCGACTATCTGCCAAAGCCCTCTCGTGGGTAGCAGACCTCGACATTGGCATTTAGCTCCTGAACATATTGCCATATGCAAGAGTAGAATAGCGATGCTATATTCGCAATAGAATTGTAATCGAAACCCATTTGATTGCATGAGTGTTCCATGACAGAATCCAACTCAGAATCCCATGCAATTGATTGTAGATTTTAACATGGGAGTCGCCAATTGGTGAATTGCAATTCTTGCAAGAATAGTCCAGGCTATAAATTTAGGATACAAATATTCATTGCTGTTGGAATTGCCCAGCTATAATATGCCCCCAAACACTGCTGCCACAGAAATAAATCTTAACATGTGAAAGGTATTATATGCTTCGTGTATTGTGAGTGTTTGAGTATCCATGGTTGGCCTTTTGTTATCGTTCAGCATCTACTGTACATTTGGTTTTTCCTGAAATGTACCTTATGCAATCACCTATGATATACCTTTTGAAATGTGTGAAATATGAAACCTCTGGCATTCATCCAAAACTGCTGATCAACAAATGGGGTAGATAACTCCAGGGTATTTTATTTCTCAACATTGCATATGTTTAAAATGTGTAGTTAGGCAGTCTGCCAGTATAAATGGGTACTTGCTTAAACTAATTTTTTGTTTTGATTTAAAGCTTTCGTGACTGCTGTAATTCATATTCTTAGTTCTTTCGGTAAAGTCACGTTGAAGGGAAACAATAAAATAATAAAATATATATAAAACAATAAACATTCTCACGACGTTTCGACCATAACACAAACGGTCGTCATCGTGAGAATTTTTATTGTTTTATATATATTTTATTGTTTCCCTTCAACGTGACTTTACCGAAAGAACTAAGAATATAATTATTTGTTCCCATCTCAATTTTCTTATGCCTACCCTTTAAGTTTATTGCGTTCTCGAGACAAACCACGCCTGTGACCGAATTCTTGTCAGGTTTCGAAAAAGCCACGGTTCTGTTTAGCTTGTGCAAGTGCTCGAATGGGTGACCACTGTGGCTGACCGGGTTTTTAAGGCTGCTGCCGTGCCGGATCGTCAAACTTTTCCCCGCGGAACTCAGCCCCGTGATCTCTTCCCCCCCCCCCTCCCCCCCCGCTCAACAGGAGGAGACCCACATGTGCGAGAGGAGTCCCATGCAGCCACCGTCGCCGGCCTCATTGCTCAACCGTTTGCAGCTGGGCGAGGAGACCGAGTCGGAGCCCACGGACCTCTTTGTGAGAGTCGACAGCCCCGAGAAACACGTCACGGCCATGGAGACGTACATCACCTACCGCGTCACTGTGCGGGTACGGGGCGCGTGCTCTCTGCTCACGAGTTGCGGAGGATCGCCGCGACTGTTGTTCCCATTAAACCGTTTGCTGTTGTTTGGTTTTGTATTTTGTCTTTGCCCAACTGTTATCCCGATTGTGCTGTCGGCGTCTTATTGTTTAGACCGAGTGTCCATCTGGAGCGCTCATAGAGCAGTGCAGCCCCCGTCCGTCCGTCCGTCCGCGTTAGAGTATGGTCCATGAATGCCGATGTTACAGAGCTATCTCCGAACGATTTTTCTTAGGGTGACATCTGATACACAGAGTAGGGAGGCAGCTCTTTCTCACCCGCTCTAACACCGAGAGCAATGTTCTCGTGCACGACAAACCAACATTGAAAATTTTCAGGACTGAACTTTAGCCGAATTTAATGCAGAACCAAATTTAACGTGATTTTTTTTATTTTTTATTGTGCAATCATTGATGACTGGGCTGAGACCATCAACTCGCTACACTTGAACACAGTTTAATCACAAGCAGCTACCCAGATTCGAACATAGGATCTCAGCAGTGCTAGTGCTAGCAACATGCTCCACGTTGAAAAAAATAATAACTTACTCGTGTCCTGAGGGGACACAAGAAAATGTGAGGTCACGTGCACGGTTTAAATGGTGTGATGGTGCTCGCCTGTAATCCAATACTTTATCGGCAAAGTTGGTGAATTTTATAGATTTCATCGTGTGCTGTGAGATTCTCAAGCTGATGTGTTGATAGTCGTAGGATTGTTGCAGTTCATAATTCGCCACCCTGTCATGATTCGCTGACTTTTTACGCTTCAGAGTCACAATTTGATTTGAGAATTAATGCTTTTCGTCTTTTGTGTGGGCTCTCGTCGGTTCCGGCAGATAGCCTAAAGGTAAAACTTACGCAAGAAGTAAATTTTCTGAGCCAAAAAAAGTCAAGCTAATGATCGTAATCATTTTTTTACATGCGCGGCTCCATGCACGTGCTGTACCCTGAGCATATTAAGCGATGATTCGTTAGATGTCTAGCTAGAGAGGTTTTTTTCAGAGCCTCCTTGGTAGCTAACACTGAGCACAAGACGTAATGCACCCATCCATCCATCTGCTAACGCAACACGATGGCAAACATCCTCTTGTCAGCCCTTGTCATCATTCGAAAACTATACACTTTTTTGGGAAACTGTGGCTTTAGGCATGGTTTCAGGAGGTATCTTTTTCTGTTATGACTCTTCGATCGGTTGTGACTCTTCGCTGCATGTTTTTTTAATCACGTGACACTTAATCTCTTGACCTCACCAATTCCTTATCCTGCAGTTGCATTTGTAAACAAAATGACACAGTTCCACTCGTTCACAGGCAATGTACTTTTGTTTCTTTGTAATAATAATGTTAATGCTAATTTGTAACGCGCACAATTTTCACTTCGTCGAAAGCAGCGACCCTCAGGCACGGGTATAATAAGTTGGTGAAAATAGTTTGAGTAAGTTTTCAGAATTTTTTATTTTAAACATCTAAAGAATACAATTCATTTAAGAAGGCACAATTTGTGCATATTCCACATTTTATCATCAGCAGCCGTATTACATTTACTTCTGGATGTAGGCCTCTCCCATGTCTTGATAATTTCAGTCCTGCAATGCCACAGTCCATCCTTACTTGTGCACATGGACTCATCTTAAAATGAACCACAATACCTTTCTGATCTCGTCAAGGAACATAAACCGTCACGCGAAACTCCGGTGGTCCTCGCAGCAGCGGGTTTTGGCTAATCATTGAACAACAACAACACTGCATCGCGCGCTTTCAGATGTGCTTTCAGATGTGCTGCAGCCACTTGGAATGCTCTTCCTTCCGATATTACGGAAGCCACTGCAACTACAGACAGTCCCCGAGTTACGGTGGTCCGACTTACGATATTTCGTTCTTACGATGGCGATAGCGATACGACTAAATTGTAAAAATATTTTAAATTTCGCGCGGCAGGCAAACGAAAGCAGCGTACGAGGTACGAGGCTGTACGTTGGAACGCTGCCGGGATGTACGCGTCTCCCGCCTTGTGTGGTGATGCCTCACTCTCGCCAGCGGTCGACGGAGTTAAGTTGTCTCGGTGTTAGCGCGTGTACTGTACCTTGTTTTTTTTGTTACTTTACATTTCACTGTGCAATACAGTATTGTAATTAATAAATACATACAGTATATAGTTTATACAGTACGGTACTGTAAATTGCTCTGTTTTGCGAAATTATCACCATTCCTTAAGACTCCTGGGTAGGCTAGGCCATCTTCGACTTCCGATATTTGTGACTTACGATGGGGTCGTCGTAACACATCTCCATCATAAGAGAACTACCTGTATGCACTTTTAAATCTGGATTTAAATCTGTTTTTTAAGCTGCTTCTTGTATTTAGTTTGTCCTTCCCCTGCACTTCCAATTCGCATGGTTTCCTATGTACGGTGCAAAAGAAATTCAACATGCATACATTTTTTTTTCTCAATTTCCATTCAGATAGATACTGCTGCGGTGTAAGGGTTAGCACACTGGACTTGAAATCCAGAGGTCGCCGGTTCGATCTGCCGGCACGGAAGTTGAAACAATGGGAAAGTCTCTTAAATCTCCCCCCACCTCTGTCCACCCAGCATTAGCAATGGGGATGCCACATTTAGTCCATTGGCAGGTCGCTTGTGGTGGGGTAAAGTGTGAGTAATCAAATCTCTTCCAAGATGCCCTAGCTAGCATGGAAGAGGAGGCCAAATACCTCCGAGAGGGGCTCTCTCTACTGCAGCTCCCTCGACTTGGAGAGAAAATCTATCAACAGTGGTGTTAGCAAGTACAGTAAAAACCTTGTATTGCGAGTAACTTGGTCTGCGAGTGTTTTGCAAGACGAGCAATTTTTTAAAATAAATATTCATTTGATAAACGAGCGAGGGTCTTGCAATACGAGTAGCAGTACGTATAGACGCTTTGTCTGCCGAGCGTCACGTGATCACAACTAATATACGAGTGCTTTGATATACGAGTGCTTTGGATTACCAAACACGTTTTCCGGGAACGAATTATACTCGCAATTCAAGGTTTTACCGCAATTGCTCACCTGAGTTCAAGCAGACAGAGTTCCTTTGGCTGCCACTGTCACCAGTTTTGTCCATCTTCTAACAATGTGTCATCGTCAAGCTTGCTTACCTAAAATGTCAGTGTAGTGGATCTGATCTGGACTTGTTTTACCTGTACATGTGTTTTTTGTTCTTTTATCTTTCGGCAGTGTAATTGCTGACATGCGTCCCTCCATACTCATTTGCATGCTTTTAATCTTCAGTTCCACTTTCTTTGTCATCGCCGGCAATATGCTAACCATAATACAGGAGACTCGATTATCTGCGTGAGTGACGGGGAGGACGGCTGCGGGTAATTAAAATCGCGGACAATCCAAAAATATCCATTTTCCGCTGATCTCTATGCCATAAACCACTAAGATAGGTATAAATTATGTTTAAGTTCAGAAAATTTAGTTTGTTAATGAATATTAAAAAAAAAAATTGCAGGAAATAATGTATTGATCTTGTTTTATTGCAAAATTCCATTGGGCAATTTCGTAAATTAAAAGTCACAAAATAAATGATTGGATAAATCGCTCAAAATGAAGCACAACTGACGAATTTCATTGTTAATCTTTTAATGTGGAACGAATACTAACGATCGACCGATCGATGCGCGTGCACAGTGATCACACTTTCCTGCTCCCGAGCAAAAGACTTGGCCCACTAAGTGTATAGCAGAGCCACGCCAATCAAAATCAATCAAACTCTGCCCCACTGTGGTAAAGGTATGCAACTACTGTACTGTAGAGGCGATCACGTGGATTTTGGGTTAGCCGGAGCACTTATTTGACGGTTTAAGCACGTGACATTTAATAAACATTTCCAAGAATAACAATGTATAACTGTAGTAATAGGTTTTTTTACCCTTTTATCTGGCACAAAAGCTGACACCTTTATAAAAGGGATCATTCATAATAAAGGTTTTTGGGTTAGATCGCGTTTATTTATAAATGTGTCGTAACCCTCCACCACCCAACACGGCCAATCAGCAAAAAAAAAGTGTCACGTTGACAAAAGACAAATAATTCACAACTTTAGCCCACCGGTGTGTTGAAGAGTGAATCCACATTTACAGTTTGAGTACGACGTTTCGCTGGTAAATACATCCAGCATCATTGCAAAAACCACAACACAAGTAGTCAAAATGCAAACAAAAAAGACAACTCTGATAATGATATGCACTGTCCTTGAATTTGATTGGTCCACACCTTTATACATGATCCCTTGTATAAGGGTGTCAGTTTTTGTGCCAGATAAAAGGGTAAAAACCTATTACTATATCTTGTTACTGGCAAAGGAGGTCTCATAATGTATAACTGTTTTCAAATTACACTGGGTATCAAATGTGTTTTTTTTGTTCGTAAGTGTTATTTCCTAATTGCTTATGCCTCAAAAGTACAGAAAATGGCTATTATTCCCCCCACAAACTTTGCTTTTGTGACCAGGACAGTGATATTTTGAAATATACCTATTTCACAGTCGCACTACCACAGTGGACCGAGTTCTCTTTGGGGAGGAACAATCTCAACAAACTACTCGCTTCTAAATCTTTTGTAGTAATTTTTGTATTACTTTAGTATAGATACATGATAATTTTGATTCATGTTTTTTTTTCTGACTTTATGTGAACGAAAAGACACATTCGCCCGTTTTCTCATTGAAAATAGGTTAATTTCAAAATATCACTGTCCTGGTCACAAAAGCAAAGTTTGTGGGGAATAATAGCCATTTTCTATACTTTTTAGGCATAAGCAATTACTAGATAACACTTACTACCCAGGAACAAAAATTGTGTTACATAGTGTTATTAATTTTGGCTTAAGATAAACTCTACAAATTATTAATTTGTCAATTTCAGGTGTGCGGTTAATCCGCAAATTGGATAAAATGCACGCAGATAATCGAGTCTTTGTTTTTCTAGAAGAAGTCGTTCCTGCTCTCTTTCTCATCTCTTTAATTTAATCTTTGACATGTATTTGTATTCTGTCATTATTAATTCTGAAATTAATTTCCTGAAATATGGTGCAATTGTATCAATAGTATGTAGCATTTTTTTTGCCAATGAAAACATTTGGAGTCATAACGTTTTATTATGAAAGCCAGCAAGGGCATATTTTATCACTTTCTTTTTAAGTCAGCGTTTTGCATTTGGCATGAAACCGAGAGCTCACAGAAAAACCACACGTACAGAGGGTATAACATCCACAAATTGATACTCTTTGGTTCTATTCGGTAAAGTCACGTAGGTAAAAAAATAAAACAACAAAAATCACGACGTTTCGGCCACAACACAAGTAGCCTTCTTCAGGTGAAGGAACAGAACTGTCGGGACGACAGAGCTTCAAAATAAGATCGCTAGTTAATCTTCGTCCCGACAGTTCTGTTCCTTCACCTGAAGAAGGCTACTTGTGTTGTGGCCAAAACGTCGTTATTTTTGTTGTTTTATTTTTTTACCTACGTGACTTTACCGAATAGAACCAAAGAGTGTGGATCCTTGCAGTCACGAAAGCTTCAAATCTAGAATCCACAAATTCATTTGCTGTACTGTCATCTCCTAGCCACTTTTTTGCAGCTCACTGGGTTAGTTGGGTGCACGAATCTCTGCACGATCCACCAATCCTCAACCCCAAAGCAGCTGGGCACCACCATGTCGAGGTAGTTTGAAACGAGTAACAATAATGCATACCAGCCATTCTTAATCATCCAAAAGGCCTCGCCACACCATGTCAGTCATGCAGGCTATTTGACCGTACTGCGTGCTGGTCAATGTAAATTGGTGAATGGACCTGTTCTCATGTCACTGCTTACTGATGTAAGCTATACGCCATGGCCGAGAATTGAACTAAGGTTGGTGGGCTCGTAGCACAGCACGATGACCGCAATAACTCCGCCGTAGTTTTAAATATGAAACATTTGTTTTGAATGGCAACGCAGGGGTTGTCCTCTGCTGTTTGCAAGTGCTGGCCCAAAAAACACGGTCACCTCAATCCTTCGGTCAAGGCATCAAGCTACATAATAGCGTCGTGTTCCCAGGGCTTTTGATCGTCGGTGAACGATGTTAGCAGGCATCTATTAAGGCTGGCATGGCACACAAGAGGGTGATGGGGCCAGCACCACACACGCCCAGCTGCCTGTCTCTCCATCCCTAATGTTGACATTGCAGCAGGTGCTTATTTTATTTGATCTAGGGGAGTCCCACGGCAGGTTCACATTGCACTGGGCAATAGTACACATGGCTAGGATTTAAAACCGAGTGGCTTGGTATGCGGGGAGTAGAGTGGAGTGTTTTTTTATCTTTATGGCAAGCAACCCTCTTCTTTATACACCCACGTGCATTTGTTTTGCGTGACTGGGCACAGGGTTTTAGGTGACTGACCACATTGGCATGTTCTCTTCAATCATGGTGGTGCCGCTGTGTGTCGAGCCCATGCAAATGAATTTATTGGCATGTTGTTTTCAGGGGAAGGAGCTGCTTGCTATCTGTCTGCCCAGGTAGAGTTCGTTACTGACTAGCCAGCCGTATCTGCCCTCTTGTGAAGTGTCAATTAAAGTCTTGCTGTGTTCTTGTGATATATTAACCCAAGATCTGCCTTTTGTTTTTAATCCCCAAGTTGCCCAATGCCTTCGCTCGACAGAGTGATTGTGTTGCGCATGTTTATGTGATGTGCATGGTTGACTTTTGATTGTAATTTGTTTTTATTTAAATTGGATAAGTGCTTGTCTGTGTCAAGACAAATAATGTTTGTGAAATTTCTTTCTTTACGCTCTCATGATGTATTACCCTGCCATGACGGCACAGGCATCTGGAGACCTCCGTTTTCATGCTACGTAAAAACTAAATCGTTCTGCAGTTCTAAAATTCTCGCTCTTCGGGCTTTGTAGTCGCCTTGTGTTGTGCTGTGCTAAATCTTTTGCAGACGACCCGTAGCGAGTACGACGGCATGGAGTTTGTGGTGCGCCGACGCTATCAGGACTTTGACTGGCTGCGAACAAAACTGGAAGAGACACAGCCTACGCACATCATCCCGGTCCGTCTGGCTGTCTGTGTGTGTACTTTGGGTGACCATTTAGTGGGGAGCAGTTGCGCATTTGTTAGCACGCTGTGCTGCGCTATGAACCCGGCGACCCGAGTTTGTTTCCTGCTCACGGCCACCAACACCAGTGACGATTATCTGAACCGGTGATGGGCCTCCCCTAGGTCGATTCACCCTCAAATGAGTACCTGATGTCACGTGTTAAACATCACCACTGGGGAGACAAAGGCAGTCGGGCGTGAAGTTGGCCACCCACTCACTTGTGTGCCGTGCCGGCCTTCATATGTGCTCGCTAATAGCACTTGCCCAAAAAGTGTTTTTAGGCTATAAGGGGGATCTTTGTCTTTGGTCACCAATGATCTGTCTATCTGCCAGTCACTTTCTGTTTGTGTCTGCCCTGTCCATCTGCCTGTCTGTATGTTAATATTTCCATTTACTTGCCTACATGTCAGTGAATTCAGCCTCATTATTCTACTTTCCTGACAAAATATGTCTGTCTTCTCCGTGCTAGCTCAAGATTTACTAACTCGCCCAACTCCTCATGAGCAGATCATTTAAATGGCTCTTCCCCCAAGCACCGTCTTCTTCAGCTAGTGGTCTTAATTTGGCATGAGCACCATCACCAAGTGGCCAAATTTAATGACACAAATGGATGGAGCAATAGGCTTAATGTCTCTGAAGGGCAGCATTCGCTATGACTCTGCTGTCACACAGGAGCAGGGCTGAGATTTGGAGTCGCAATGCAAGAGCTTTTGTGAACGTTGAGCATTTGAGACAAACTCACAGCCTTGGAAAACTCCATCTTTAAACTCCTTTTTTTGTCTTTTTTACCACATTGTTATCCCCATTGTGTTTTGGTGTTGTGTCACAGCACGAATAATCTCTTAGAATCTCACAAAAAGCAGTGCAATGCTGCATGTTAGACAATGGCCCATATCATATAACTACTGCTTAGATCACTTCAATGGGCCTCTAATCCACACATTACAAGTCGGCATTATCCCACCTGCCCTACTACAGAGAATATGTTGTCGCGGGATAGTCAAACTGACATTTAATTCTCAGAGCTGGAATTTAGCTATATTAATCACATGTAATGTGTTTTTTTGCGTAGTCATTGGTGACCAGACTCAGACCAACAACTCAGTACACTTGAGGACCAACTCGGTCGGTGTCATTACAGGCAGGCTGCCTGTATTCGAATCTAGGATTTCAGCGGTGTGAGTTCAGAAATCTTGACAGCTGCACCACACGGGCATTAAAGAGTTGTAATACTCTCGTACGTGGCCTGATACATTATTTATTAATGCCATGGTGCACTGAACGAAGCATCTTGTATTCATTCTCGGCTGTTGTAATATACTGTGGGAAAGAATATAATGCTTGCAGTGTCGGTGAATGCATTAAAGGCATATAAGTACAACAATCTTACGGAATTGAATATCCTGGTTAATCCACATGGGGGTGCCATTACTTTAGTAATATTGCTGCCACGTGTTTTGAGAACAATTTTTGTTTACGTGGGCATGGGAACATCACTTATTCATGGCTTTGCCAGGCCTGTGGTATATGTTTGTTATAAATATTTATTGTTCTAAGCCGTACTGTGGCGTGGCTTACACTTACATTTTCTATCTAAAAAAACAACAACACGTAACGCTCCATCGCACACACGGCAGCCTTGTGACTGTGGCTTCTTTGTCGAAGAGAAACCAATTATTCCATTCCATTGGGATGCCTGACGCATCCCACGGCATCTGTCCATGGCACAGTTTCATTCGTTCACATCTGTCAAATTCCCAAACAATAATGTTAGTCCAGTGAATAGTGTTAAAAGTTGCTAATTTCCAAGGTGCAACCGATAGGAAGATGTGGTTTTCCTTCCATTGTTTACCTGCGACCATGAATGGCGGTCGTGGTAGCAAGCAACCAGTGTCGCTATTATATTTCATAAGATATTGATCAGAAATTTGGACATTAGCAAAAAACATGGGACAAAAGCTGAAAACGCACAGACATGCGTGGGAGAGATGCATGCCTGTAACTGGAAAACATACGCAGGTTACTGACGTAACCCAATTTCGATTTAAAGCTTTCGTGACTGCAAGGATTCATCTTCTTTGGTTCTTTCGGTAAAGTCACGTAGAATGAGAATAAAATAATAAATTGATAAAATAAAATAACACAATAATATTCTCACGACGTTTCGGCCACAACACAAGCGGCCTTCATCAGGTGAAGGGACGAGACTGTTGGGTAGGACAGCGCTGATGAAGGCCGCTTGTGTTGTGGCCGAAACGTCGCGAGAATATTATTGTGTTATTTTATTTTATCAATTTATTATTTTACTCTCATTCTACGTGACTTTACCGAAAGAACCAAATAAGATGTAACCCAATTTGTTTAGATAAGTGGACCACAGGACACGTTGCTGGAAGGGATGATGGCCGATGATGAACGCCGGCCGATGATCAACGCCGGCCGATGGACAGATGAACTGATGCAAGAACTCTTCTAACCTTGGATTTGGAAAGGGTTAAAACAAAAAACTGCTCGGATCGTTTTTGTAGGCGGTATTTGTTTGTCCCTGCAGCCGCTGCCGGAGAAGTTTGTGATGAAGGGAGTCGTGGATCGTTTCACGGAGGATTTTGTGACGACGCGGCAGAAAGCCCTGGATAAGTTCCTGAACCGGCTGGCGAACCACCCCACTCTCTCCTTCAGCAGCTACTTCCATTCATTTCTCACTGCCAAGGTAACACCTGATCACCAATTAATATAATGATAAAATAATGTTCCGGCCCTTTTTTTTTACTTTAAATCCTGGTGAAGGGTTCACCCAATCCGTAATTCTTTCACGGTCAATAAAATGTGTAAAACAATTGAACGCGTTGCATAGATTTAAAGCATTTGACAAGTAATCCTGAACTGTACAGCCGATGTTGACGGAGCACATGGTCATACTTGTTTTTTTCCTTTCTGAAAGGTGAATAGGTTGAGTTGACCCCCTGACCTCGATTTGATCGCGCTACCTCACAATTTTGAGTCCAATATGTTCTGCCACAGCGCTTTGACCAATGCGCCCAGATTTCGGCCAATTTCATCAGATCTACGCTTAGATGAGCTTCCGTCATCCATAACAGGTGTTATAAGCCGGAGGGCTACATGGTAACAAAGGACAGGTCAGTAAAATCCATTGGTTGCATTGTACTAACGTGCTCCTCCATCTATGCTCCCCCCCCCACCGCCAACCTGCACTGAGCAACGTGGTATGTTGAACTTCTTTTGCATCGTACGTAGCCAACGGTGCTAATCGGAGGTGCTAGTGAAGTATACGAAAATAACCCCCATGGGTGGAGGATCTAGTAGAGCAGTGGATTTATAAAGTTCCGCACACGGACGGGGTAAATTGCTCTTCACAAATAACTGAAAACGGAAAACATAAGTAAGCCTAAGTGATAAATGGCGAAGGTCATCATTCTGGCCACGAATGGCTATGAATGAAGCGTTTGCAGCGGCGGCGGCGGCAGCGGCGGTAATGGCAAACGCTCGACACTGGAGTCTCAACGGGCTCTGTCTCGCCCGCCTGTAAATCAAGTTCGTCCATTGCTGCGGCGGTAACGCCGAGCCAATGCGTCATTTGCCGACCAGGACCTGGCTCTGCAGAGGCGCGGCGCCAGCCTGCTGAGCCGCGTTGGCGAGTCGGTGAGACTCGTGGCCGGTGCCGGCGGACGGCCCAAGGCACGGCCGCCCGAGTTCACGGCGATGTCTGACTTCACGGAGGCCTTTGGCCAGAAGCTCGGCACGCTGGAGAGGATAGCGCAGAGGATCCTTAAGGAGCAGTCCGGTGAGTTGTTAAACCTCGCGTCTGCTGTAATTGATCCAAGTCCATCTATAAGAGTTGTAGATTCGGTCGCACCGTTCCAGAACGTTGGCGTCATTTATAGCAAAGGCGGTTTTGACGATTCCACGGTACCTGAGGAACTCAAGTGCCAATTACTGGATCCACGAGTGCATGTAGAGATGTTCTGCCGCAATAGCCTTGACAAATCTGATTGGTCCCATTTATGGCACATCATTTCCAATGTACAGCCATGCCGGCGCTGTGCCGAGTGAGCCCCGTGCAGCCCAGAATGCGCCAGATTGCTCGCCGAAGAAGCCGAGCCGTGCCTTGAACGTCGAATGCAAGCGAACGAGCCGAGGCAGAGGTTAGACGACGCGGTGACACTCTGCGCGCCGCGCCCGCAGAGTACCAGACGGAGCTGTGCGAGTACGCGCCGCTCTACGCGAGCTGGGCCGTGCACGAGGAGGCGGAGCTCTCGCGCCCCCTGCACGGCGTGCACACCTGCCTTGCCAGCTGCTCCAGGGCGCTGGAGCGGCTCATGGTGCACTCGACCCAGGAGGTGCTGCCCACGCTGCGGGAGTACTCGCTCTACGCCGACACCGTGCAGGTGTCCGTATTCTTGGTTCTTTAACCGCGCAGGTGGTCGCCACGCGTCGCCGTTGCGTCTGCTAAACGAGTGCCTTCCGCAACCCCCCCCACCCCCACCCCTTCCACACACCCTCCTTGCCACGATTCGGGTGGGTTCATGGTTTTCAATCCGAAGGTGATTAAGGTATTGATTCCTTTTTTTGTCCGTCACATTCGTACCGACGTGTTCGGGTTTGGCAAGCATGTTTAGTCTTTTTTTTGAAGAAAGCAAAAGTCTAGAGACATCGGTCGAAAAGATCACATCAGTACGTATCTATATCCACTCTCCGGCGGACCGGATAGTGTTAGCCTCGCTACCCCCAAAGCTATCACATGGCTCACAAACTTCAACCTGGACATATAATGTGCACGCACTGGTATGTATGTACGTTGGACTTCTTTCGCGCCGTACGTAGCCAACTGTGCCAGTCGGAGCTGCAAATCATTCCCAATGCCGTTAGTACCTGCCCCACAGGGTTAACATTTTCCAGAGCATCACTGTCTTTCTTGGGTTTGGTACGGTGGCCGTGTGTTTTCAGGCTGTGCTGCGCAGGAGAGACCAAATCCAGGCGGAATTTGAGGCCAAGGTGGAGTCTCTGGCAAGCAGGAAAGAAGACAAGGAGGGGGTAATAACATTGTGCATATTTCCCCCATCCACCCGACACCTCCCCCCCCACCACCATTGGGAATTGCACTTAAACGACGTACAGATGACTTCCAACGAGGTGGATCTGTGTAAATTGTGCGACTCATTATGTTTAGGAAGTTGGCCTCTTTCACAACCATTTGGCTAAGCAGATGTCTTTCCCCTCCGTACGCTTGTATACGCACACACGCGATAATACGAAACTCTGTACGCATTATGCCAGCTGCTTAGATCATGTCAATGTGTTTGTGACACGTGGAACTAAATTAGATTTTGGCTACAAAGCTACTTGCACTTGTTTATGATTTAAATTCCTATCAATTTGCCCGATATTTTAGTCTGCAAGTGTTACCATTTTTGAAACTATCGTTCGTCATCATCCGTATACCAACTATTTCCAAAATATGGTTATCCTTAATGGTGGTTTATCATTTATTTGCCACAGGAGCATTTCTATAGATATCATTTTTTTCCTCATTTGGGACATTTTTGTCTCTGGCGAACATTGTGATCATGAGATCCTTGCTGGCCACTCACATATTTATTGCTCAATTAATAGTGTCTAACACAGCATTATCATGAAGTGAGCTAGGTTTAAACATCAACATCACTATCATGTATGTATGTATGTTGAACTTCTATCGCACCATACTTAGCCAACCATGCTGATCGGCCGTGATCTACGAACTGCTTGGTGTAGGCCTCTCCCCGCGGTGTCTCCCACACTGCACGGCGGCCTTGCGATCCCATGCGCCGTCTCGCTTCTACACGAAGCCCATCCCATTGCTCTCCTCTTCTCTGGCCGCTCTTGCGACGCTACGGGGGGCTGTTGCCGCCGGGTCGGCATGACTGCGGTTGTCCGTGTGGCGCCCGCCCGCTCGCGCGTGTGCACGCAGTACGCGGAAGACGTGGACAAGCTGCACGACCGTATGGAGTGCGCCAACGCCAACCTCAAGGCGGACTGGGAGCGCTGGCAACGCAACAAACGCAGGGACCTCCGGGAGCTGCTCGTCAGCCACTCGGACAGGAACATGCGATACTACCAGGAGGTGAGCGTGGCCCCTAAACCCAGATCTCTTCCTGTCCTATCAAGCGTTAACCCTTTGCCGTCCCGAGATGTCTGCACGTTGCAAGGTGGGTGTCCAGTTCGCCGCTGAATCTGTGAACGCGCGAGCGGTAAGGCGTTAATTTTATTCGGAGAGGCGTATTTGGCTGTGTTGGTGACACATTTGATGAGCTTTTAATTAGTTCGTGTTTTCACCTGTTGCACGTCGATGGACGGTGTTTTGAAATATCTGCTGCGAGGAGGTGGATGGTGGTTTCATGCCCTGCTTTGCATCATTTGCACAGGTGACAGTGTTTTCATAATAAACGTTTTTGGGTTAGATCGCGTTTATTTATAAATGTGTCGTAACCCTCCACCACTCGACATGGCCAATCAGCAAAAAAAGTGTCACGTTGACAAAAGACAAATAGTTCACTACTTTAGCCCGCCGGTGTGCTGAAGAGTGACTCCACAACATTTACAGTTTGAGTAAATGTTGTGGATTCACTCTTCAATTCACTCTTCAACACACCGGTGGGCTAGATTAGTGAATTATTTGTCTTTTGTCAACGTGACACTTTTTTTGCTGATTGGCCGTGTCGGGTGGTGGAGGGTTACGACACATTTATAAATAGCGCGATCGAACCCAAAAACCTTTATTATGAATAATATTGGTTGCGAAAGCCTCCTACGTGTTAAACTGACAGTGTTTTGCTCGTGCTGTTGTCTCTGCAGTGTTTGTCATCGTGGGAAACCCTCGTCCCACTCTTACAGGACAAACCAGAGGAGGAAAAAGACCAAAAATCATAGCCAAGACTTCTCCTGTTGGTATTTGGGTGCAATTTGAGTGAGGATTTACCCTACATTATAATTGTATTGTTGTTGCATATTTGACACCTTTATTTCCTAAACGGGGCACGATGCTTTGAGAATATTATATTGCCTGTGTATCTCATGCAAAAAAAAAGATTTTTTAACAGATTATTGCCTGATTTAAAAAAAAACACATGTCATCATTCCATAAATACGAATGAGTTGCACAGCTAAATAAGTTGTCAAACTATATTTATAAAACACGTATGCAAAAAAGTAACTGGATGAAAGAAAAACAAAATTGGTGCCCTTTTCTGTTACAACAAGTGCTTGGAATGAGTTTATTCTCTTCTGATATTCAACGTTTTTTATCCTGTTATTATTATTTTCGTTTTCTCGTCTTTCTCAATTCTCACCAAATGATTCCAAAACTCGCTCTTGAGAAAAAATATATACACAGACTCTTCACATTCTCATTCTTGCGCATGTGTGTGTATTATCAGCATTTAGGAGAGATAGAGACTACTGTACTGCCATCTTGACGTCGCCAGATCTTCTCCTGTTGACCGAGTGGTGGCTGTGTGCGGTCGATGCATGCCCCCCCTCCACCCCCAATTTGCCCTTTGAATTGCACCCTCACAGCTGAGTGATTGGACAGTCATCTGCCTGCGATGGGTTTTTTGCTGAAGGGATTCAAGTGCAACGTAGCTGTGCGATTCCCAAAAAAATGAGGTTTTCGGCCTCTCCGCTGTTCTTGCCACATCTTGGGCGCATTTTGAACAACGCGCTTTTGCTCCGTTGTCCGCTTCGCCTCTCCGCTGTTCTTGCCACGTCTTGGGCGCATTTTGAACGACGCGCTTTTGCTCCGTTGTCCGCTCCGCTGCACCTTTGTTGCCTATGGAGCGCTCTGGTTTTTTTTTATTGCTCACGAACACTTGGCCTTTAAAATGCTAATTTAACCTCGTCGTTTTATTTAATTCTCGATTATCGGCAGCCATGAGACCGACAGGATTCTTTTCGCTTGTGTTAAGAAAATGCCACTGAATATTTTGAGGATGTTGTTTTTTTTAAAGAATTTATTTATGAAAAAAATTAAAAGATGACCTTTAAACTGGAATTTTTTTTTACTTCCTATATTGTTTTCTGTCGGGCATTGACATTTTGCATTAAATAAAAAAAACATTTGAATGTCACCATTACCATCTGATAATTGTACTCAACATCAGGTGTATTGATGTTTTTGCTCACACTTTTGTCAGAACATACAGAGCGCGTTCCATCTTGTGTTTGCCACAGCAGTGTACTTTCCCTACCACTATAATGGCAGGCTAATGAAATTAATTTCTGATGTCAAATCACATGCGATGCCACATCATTTTATTATTCTGTAGTGCCTCTGCTTCAGCATGGGTGTCGAATGCATTATTATCATCGTTCGTGTTCTCCGTTGATGTACTGAGGGTAATTGTACGTTTTCACCGTCAACGCTTCTTTGACGTTAAAATTATTTCCGTAATAGCAGCTGTTCCGAGGCTGTAAAATGGCACTGTGAGGAAAGTGAGCTCGAGGCAGGAATTGGACAAAGCCACTCTGTGCCACGTATCCGAGGCCAGGAGGTGTCGGGAATTCAGTCGCTCAGACGTGCGAAATGCTTTCGCAGGCGTTTTCACGGTACACTTGTCCAGTTTATAGATTTGTAAGCATGCACAGCAAGTTGGGTCATTTTCTTTTTTTTTACATTTGAATAGCTGTAAAAGGTTGCCCCCATTTTTAACGCTGCGCAATCACAAATAAGTGACTTAACAAATCGATAAACATTTGAGGGAGGAGCAGGTTGTATGTCAGAAGTCACATGCTAATATCTGCTCTCCACCCATGATTTTGCTGCAATGAAGTCCGCAGCAAAAAACTGCTTTTCATCGTTCGGCATGGTGTCCACCGGACATTTCACTCCACGTGCTGAGAGCTTTCGGTTTCCGAAGAAGCACCCCAGCCCATGGAATCGAAACGTCGGACATTTGCCTAAATGGCATGTGGTACAACCCACAAACACGTTGGCAGAGCTATAGGGTGGGACCCTGAACGCCTACCACAGCTAGGGTTCATGAGAATCGGAATATTTATTTGGACTGTCGGAGGAATCCGATGACCTATGAAGCTCTTTCACAGATGTCATTCTTTAATTATACAAGCCGGATTTACGAAGCGTGAGCACAAGGCAGCAGAAACGACACCAAAACGGTCCCAGACCACACCAAGATAACACCAGACAGCAGCAGTCCCTCAATAAAAAATAGCACATTGAACTATCGATACGACACAGATACGGATCTAAAGTTGCAAATTGTGACTCTATCCAGCACTAATGTTCTGCTTCAGGATAATTTTTCGAAGGAAGATGTACGATGCAGAGAGATTGAAATGGGGTGGCAATCCACATTTGTATGGCGCGCAATCGGACGGCGGCTTATTGTTTTCCCCAGTGTGGTTTTTCACAAAGCCATTCAAGGGCATTCAGGGATTTTGATGTTCTTTTTGGACCCATTCATCATGCTGTGGATACAACACACGTAGACTTGAGGCCAGTAACTAGAGTTGACGTTGAACAAAGTTAGTCAGTTGTGACCGCATACTAAGTTACACTTTTACTCTTTAACGTTAGTGGATGGTTGTCTAACCCGGAGTGAAATAACATGATTATTTTTGGGGACAATATCTGTCCCATTTGTAACAAGATAAGTAAATCTTTGACCTTGTTTGTCCCACAACCACATATGCAAATAACGCATGGCAGCACGCTCAGTCCGACTGTTGCAATCACGTTATTTTAGTGGAAACCCTCTTAACTTTCATTACATTCCAAGAAATTCCTGTATTTTCCACATTGCACGTGAAATACATTTACATTATAAACTAGTATTAAGCTATGAGTAACACAACTCGGCAATTCCATTGAATCAGATGACCATTTAAAGTAGTGACTTGCTTCAGGAAAGGCTGGGATGGGCTTCCTTCAAGTCAGATCTGTGATTCGCTGCTTTGTTTAAATTGAAAGACTTTTTGCTACGTCTAAGCTTGCCGGCAATTTAAGAATGATCGTAGTTTCTCCGTACTAATCGTTGGACCGCGGGACATTTTTTTGGTGAGATAGCAGCATCGCCCAAAGGAGCATGATTCTACATACCAGTGATCAGACTGAAGCCAATTATTTGAAACTAGTTATAACATCGCTTGGATTTCACCCACTGCATACAGTTAAAGTGATTACTAACTTTTCAGATGACTGGTGTCTGAGCACACACTAATTGCCCCTAAGCCCAGTGTTCTGGCTCAGGTCCGCTTTGCACTTTGAAGGCCCTTTGCACCTTTGAATTGTCATCACAAAGCATCAATTTGAAGCAGGCAGAGGGAACCCTGTGGCAAGGTATTGGTGAGTTGTATTCATTATAATTCAGGCACTACACGAGAAGTCTTGAGAGAAGCACCTCAGCCGTTGAAATTAACTGCACTGTCATCCTCAAATAAAAAGTTACATGATTTATTGAGTGAATAACAAAGCGGGAATATTATATTGGTGAATCTTTTTATTAACTCGTTCAATTCGTTGGCTAATCGGATAACACAAGAATAGTTGGGGATAAATAATGTCTCTGTTCCCACGTGTGCTACTGGATGAGAAGTCATTGAGAGGGGCAGGGCTGGCAGGGGCCTTGGTGACATGGACATCATCATCAGCCGCGTCGCGCTGGGCTTGGCGAGTGGGGGTGGGTTTCCTGCCTTCAGGGGGCTCAGCTATTCGACTGATCATCCTAGCTGTCCATAGCATGCTCTTATAAACGCGTGACCGTGATTTCATCAGTTTTATGCATCACCCCTGATTGCGCTGTATACATGCTGAGACACACATTATTACAGCGTTACCATATTACACGACGCACTCAAACACGCCCTCGGTTATTTGTGATTTTGTTTTGCTTTGTGCGCAGATTGGCAACGCAGTGTCTTTTATTTTCAGCACCGTCTTAATTTCACCAGTTAATTCGTGGAACTATGAATACAACGTGTGGTGCGGTTCTGGGTTCATTTTTTACATTGCATCAATAATCTTTAAGCTGCAAGAATAAGGGATGTGATCTTGTGAATTAATGATGAATCGGTACAATTAATGAAACAACAAAAAAATGCTCTGGAATCTACCTCTTCAAACAAACTCGTAGATTAAACAAAAAACAATGCTCGTGTAATTAAATTCTTAGGAATTTACAAACCTGCAGGATCTTACACCAACTCGACTTCCAAAGTTTGAAGTACATGTTGGTAAAACGTCCGTGATACTTATAATAGCAAATGTTGTTATAATGTAGACACACCGTGGTGAGAGATATCAACGATATGAAGTTGTAGTTTTTAATTTAAATTGGTTTTGTCTTAGTTAATTTAATAGTAGGTTAATTACAGTATTAAAGCATTAAACTGTGCCTTTGTGGTGATTTTTGAAAAAGACCACATCACAGAAGCTTTCAATGTAATGGCGACAATTACAGCACTTACACAATTAATGTAATGGGCCATCACGACTGCTAAATGGTTTTAATGTCAGTTTCATTTAAAAAAAAATAAAACCTACTTTTTGTAGAAAAGTGAAAATTAGTGGGCATGCCACATGATTAGTGGCCTAAATCAGAGACGGAACGTGACCTCCATTCACAGACATATTGGTCGTATCTGTATTTTTCTTTATTAATCGGTGTAATGTCAATCCTTTTCACGTTGCTCTCACGTCACACGTATACATTTTGACGTCGTCCAATGCTGCATAATTCAACAGCAGTTGGCCCTCTGGAAGAATAACTGGCTCCTGCTATAGAAATGTTGTGGAGATTCTAGGATTGGACTTGGTCATAAATATCTATCGTTTTTCCATTGTCCAAACGAGCTGTGCCAGGCCCAATTTGCCAAACCAGCCCAAAATGGGTAAAAAAAAAGTTGCCCAGGTTGATTTCCCGCTACAAAACCCCCGGGGCCGTGTTAATGCGGGTCATGCGTTGTACAAGTGACTCGGGATGCACGTAAACGATATCACATGATACAAATGTAGATGATAAACCTCGTGCCTGGCCTTGCTTGGCCCCCCGAGCCAGATTCAGATATTTGGTAAAGGCAAGCGTATTGCCGTTTGGTTCTGGCTCGTTGATAGGGTAGCAAGTAGGAAAATCACCTGTACCAACGTGTGCTCTGTGCTAGCACGTCTCGGATGAACCATGGAAAATGAGTGCAGGGACTCCTGAACTTACGAACGAGTTGGGTTCCAGAGGTCTGTAGGTCGATTTATTCATAGGTTCAACTTTACTTCTGCCTATTCCAAACATGTACGGCATGTACACTAAACACAAGGAATGGCTTTAGAAGTTGTATAATTTGTGGATGTAGATGCCGTGCCGGTTCTTCATTTTTGGCAGATATAGATGCCACCGGCACCATCTATTGCGCCACGGTTGAACTTACGACTCTCAGTTCGAACAGGCAACTGGACATACGGACAGGTTTGTTACTGTCTCTGAAAGTTTGTAAGTCGAATGTTCGTAAGTAGAGGAGTCCCTCTATATAGGCGACGAGATACGAACTACTGTTACACCACATTCTACCCATTAATACCCACTATAGGGCGTGTGTGTGTGTAATTGAATTTAAACATCAAAGTCTGTGCCTGATATTTGCTTCATATGTTGAGTGTTTACTGTGGAAAACTGAACTGTTGATTGCGATGGCAACCTTTCACCTTTGTTTTAGATTGACGAACACTACCGTGCCTTTTTCAGGCTGCCTCATCAAAATTCGCAGAGTACACAAATGTAAAAAAAAAAATCTATATTTTTCAAGTTAGTTTCACGGCTCAGTGCACTCACTTTTACAATGAATGCCTGTCAAAGTTAGGACGCGCATGCCAATTTGCCACTTACACAATTATTTTTGCTTTAATCGTTCGCAAACCAAGCAAATCCTTTCCCTGTTTCAACCTAATTGTATGTACACAACCCACCTGAATTTCAAATTAAGTGCCTAGGATTTATTTTTAATGGCCTAAGATGGTAGATGTTTCATGTGATAAAGCCACCAGTTTGCCTTAACGTAAATTCAAATAATAAAGAAACACCCCAACATCTGTCAGGACTGTTTGCTGGAAAGTTGTTCGTCTTTTTATTTTACAAAATAAGTGTTAACTTCGAATATATTATAAGTGAATATACGTTGTTAAAATTCACAAACGATTAATCCCATTCTAATGTTAACCCATATTAAAATGTATAACGTGAAGATACTGGAATCCGCTTGGTGCATCTCTCGGCCTGGAAATGTTTTATTGTCCAAGTCGGGCCACGGTTTATGAGAATCAAAGTTGATTTTCCCTGAGTAAAGCCCGCTGAAGCTCGTTTTCACGGGCTTAAACAAACATTACACCACTACACGATGTGCTGTAATTATTGCCACCATTATAAGACATCCCATATGTAACGGTCATTTTGTATGACCTTTCGCTGACTGATTACATTCATTATATTTTCTGATGGGCAAAATTCCAAATCCCGTGCACGGCGCTTGCCACGACCTGGCCTTTGTATATGCTGCACAGTGTTAAAACACGCGGTGTGCCATCTGAAGTCGCCGTTTACCCGCAATGTAAACCGCTGTTTTTGTAGACGTGTGACTTGTGCAAAAAGGAAAAAAATATATACTATCCGCAACATCCACTAATTTATGGTGTAGATGTAAAACACGTGATATGGCGGATTGCGATGGTTATGCTTTGTGAATTGTACAGTAGTTTGTAATAAACACAATTATACCCTTTCTGTTGTTTCCGTCGATAACTGGTGTGACCAGGTTTGTAAAACCTGGCTGGGGCAGCTGGGCGTTTGCTTTCGCAAGGGATAGTTTTACTTTCTGGTTGATATTTTCTCTTAAGTCGTAGGTGTTGTTTCTGCTGTCGTTTTCTCTCCCCTGTTATTTACTAAAATTGCCACCATCAGCCTCGTCTCGTGCGATGAAGTGTCCTTTCGGATCTCCCACAGAGCAGTGCAAGACCACGGGGACAATCGTGAGACCGCTGCCTCTCGAGATCCCATCAAGCGACCTCTGGTCCGCAGTAAAAGGGAGAAGCACTTCCTCACCTGTCTTGCATGTGACAGTGATGTCCATCACGTGGGTCAAGCTGATATTTAAAGTGTCAGAGCTGACATCCAAATTAAGTGCAGGACAATATTTAATGTGGTGGGGTTTTTTTTTACTTCTTGTTCCATCGTTGCTGGACAGGCCATCGGTTCAAGACGCCTAAGCCAGAAACTGCATGGGATGTGTGTTTACTTCTCATCGGGCTCGTGGAATTATTTTTATTTAAACTTTTTTTTATTTCACCATGTAAGGCTCGCTGAACATATGCAGCTCTCTTTCATAAGCGACCTGGCCATCACAAATGGTAGCAGCTCACCCCAAGTGGCTTATCACGTGGACATTCATAGCAACAGCCAAATACTTTTAATTGCAATGTGGAGTGCATTGGTAGCACGTGATGCGTGGCGAGGACGGAAACCCTGGTTTCGGATATTCACGCATGCTTGAAGTCATTGGCTCACGTTTCAAATATTGATTGAAGTGCATTGCTTAAAGAGGACAGTTTTGCACAATGCTTAATACAGGGACTCCTCTACTTACAAACGGGTGAGGTTCCAGAGGTCTGTTCGAAAGTCTATTTGTTTCGTAAGTCCAACTTTACTCCCATGAATTCCAAACATGGCGTACTGCATGTACACTAAACACGGGGAATGGCTTTAAAAGTTGTATAATCTCCTGTAGGTGTCAATGCCTCTAGATTCTTCATGTTTTGTAGATTTAGATGCCACCACCGCCATCTATTGTATGGCGTTTGAACTTACGATTATCGGTCCGAACAGGCAACTGGACATATGAAATGTTTGTACCTTTGAAGGTTCTTAAGTCAAATGTTCGTAAGTAGAGGCGTCTCTGTATAACTGCACGTAAACAAACTTAACATTTGTATTGCATGCTTGTGTACATCTTAATATTAACCGGAACGGTAGAAAATTACAAAACGCCGATGACACCTTTACTTAAATAAGATTATATTCGGACCCCCCTACGTACATTTGATTTAATGACTAACCTAGAATCGGAGGAAATTCACATCAGTATAGACTGCAGTTCACTTACATTTCATACTTCCATATTATACCTGTTGCAACCATTCCCCCGAGTTGACGCACAACTCTCGGTGCAAGAAACGCATCAACTCTTTACGCGTTCCCGACTTGAATCGCGCCGTCTGTTGGCATCCTTCTGGCGTCTTGGGGCTCTTGGGACTTGGCGAGGAAGAGGCGCATTTACGGTCTCCGCCGCGGAGAAGAAGGCTCCGTGCGCCGCCACTGCCCCTTCTTCCACCAAACAACCCTGCAACGGGACGTATGTTCGGCGCGTGATACGACGAATAGTGGACGCGGTTGCATTGGTCCGGGCGCTGGAATAACAGTGGCTGGGTTCATTCTCCCGGCACGGCAACGGGCAACGTTTTTGTAAAATCCTCATCCCCCCCCCCGCCCCCCCGCCTGCTCCGCTCCACCTCTGTCCACTTAGTTGGTTGTCAGGTCGCGCTCGGTGGGGGGTAAAGTGTTGGGCAAATCCCACCTCTTCCAAGATGTGTGTGGCCAGCGAGGAAGAGTAGGCCAAATGCGATCCGTAGCGGCTGTCTGTAGCTGCCTCTGGTTAAGGCTCTTCTGCCAGCAGTGGCATCAGGAGACAGGGCCGTTCAGACTTGGCTTCCCATAAAATGTAATTTAATATATATAACATTGAACATTTTTTCTACGTCCCATTATTTATTTATTTGTCATTACTACTTACCTCCTTTATGCTATTCGTTGCGCACCGCTGCAATTCACTTTGCTCAAATCGGTGTTCCCCGCTGAGGTGGTGATGCGTTTCTTTTCCCATTCCTCTTGCTCTACGCCCCCTGTAACCGTTTCCCGATCCGTTGCAACGTGACACCGACCGATGCACGGACTTCATTGAGGGCGATATCGGCACGTGAAACAAAATTCGATTGACCGATCGAGTGTGCGGGGGTTAAACCGCCCACGGCCCGGCGCAGTCGAAGCGGTGACACTCACCCAAGCGGGAGGAGGATGGTGACTCCCACGATGCCAGAGATCAAGAAGGGCAGGCAGAAGGGCAGCTCCAGGCTATCCTTGTAAATGTAGTTGAACGTGATGGAACCGACCACCCGGACGAGGCTCATTGCACACGCGAGCAGAGTGAACACCGTTCCTGAGTGGGGGATTGTGGAGGACACACGTGGGTAGAGTGAACACCGTTCATGAGTGGGGGATTGTGGAGGACACGTGGGCAGAGTGAACACCGTTCATGAGTGGGGGTTGTGGAGGACACACGTGGGCAGAGTGAACACCGTTCATGAGTGGGGGATTGTGGAGGACACGCGGGCAGAGTGAACAACGTTCATGAGTGGGGGTTGTGGAGGACACACGTGGGTAGAGTGAACACCGTTCATGAGTGGGGGTTGTGGAGGACACACGGGCAGAGTGAACACCGTTCATGAGTGGGGGATTGTGGAGGACACGCGGGCAGAGTGAAGACCGTTCCTGAGTGGGGGATTGTGGAGGACACGTGGGTAGAGTGAACACCGTTCATGAGTGGGGGTTGTGTGGGACACACGGGCAGAGTGAACATCGTTCATTAGTGGGGGTTGTGGAGCACACGTGGGTAGAGTGAACACCGTTCATGAGTGGGGGTTGTGAGGGACACGGTGGTGTGATGTAGTGAGATGGAGTGAGATGTAGTGAGATGGAGATGTAGTTAGAGATGTAGTGAGATAGAGATGCAGTGAGTTAAAGATTTGGTGAGATAGAGATGTAGTGAGATAGAGATGTAGTGAGATAGAGATGTAGTGAGTTAGAGATGTAGTGAGATGGAGATGTAGTGAGATAGAGATGTAGTGAGATAGAGATGTAGTGAGATAGAGATGTAGTGAGATGTAGTGAGATAGAGATGTAGTGAGTTAGAGATGTAGTGAGATGGAGATGTTGTGAGATGTAGTGAGATAGAGATGTAGTGAGATGGAGATGTAGTGAGATGGAGATGTAGTGAGATAGAGATGCAGTGAGATATAAATGTAGTGAGATGTAGTGAGATAGAGATGTATTGAGATGGAGATGTAGTGAGATGTAGTGAGATAGAGATGTAGTGAGATGGAGATGTAGTGAGATAGAGATGTAGTGAGATGATAGAGATGTAGTGAGATGGAGATGTAGTGAGATAGAGATGCAGTGAGATATAAATGTAGTGAGATGTAGTGAGATAGAGATGTAGTGAGATGGAGATGTAGTGAGATGTAGTGAGATAGAGATGTAGTGAGATGGAGATGTAGTGAGATAGAGATGTAGTGAGATGTAGTGAGATAGAGATGTAGTGACATGGAGATGTAGTGAGTTAGAGATGTAGTGAGATGGAGATGTTGTGAGATGTAGTGAGTTAGAGATGTAGTGAGATGGAGATGTTGTGAGATGTAGTGAGATGGAGATGTAGTGAGATGTAGTGAGATAGAGATGTAGTGAGATAGAGATGTAGTGAGATAGAGATGTAGTGAGATGGAGATGTAGTGAGATGGAGATGTAGTGAGATGGAGATGTAGTGAGATAGAGATGTAGTGAGATGTAGTGAGATGTAGTGAGCTAGAGATATAGTGAGATAGAGATGTAGTGAGATATAGATGTAGTGAGATAGAGATGTAGTGAGATGGAGATGTAGTGAGATAGAGATGTAGTGAGATAGAGATGTAGTGAGATAGAGATGTAGTGAGTTAGAGATGTAGTGAGATGGAGATGTAGTGAGATAGAGATGTAGTGAGATAGAGATGTAGTGAGATGTAGTGAGATGTAGTGAGATAGAGATGTAGTGAGATGTAGTGAGATAGAGATGTAGTGAGATGGAGATGTAGTGAGATGTAGTGAGATAGATATGTAGTGAGATGTAGTGAGACGTAGTGAGCTAGAGATGTAGTGAGCTAGAGATGTAGTGAGCTAGAGATGTAGTGAGATAGAGATGTAGTGAGATAGAGATGTAGTGAGTTAGAGATGTAGTGAGATGAGGGACAAGAGCTGCAGATAATTTCATTTGACAGAGCGTCATTCGTGAAATTGCATCCCACAACGCTGCAACATCAATGAGCCAGTCCCTGACAGATGATACGGAAACAAACACCCCACTACTTATTTATGTTTATGTTCATGAGAGACTACATTTGAGCTGATATTTGGTGCATTCCTATTCCTATTGTTTATGGTTTTGGGGGGGCGTTCTTTTGAGCTACTCGAGGGGGGGGGGGGCCTGACACTTTTTCCCAGTTACCTTTTGCCAAGTGCCACCGCTACAGAGCCGCCCAACTTCTGCAAAAAATCCCTCCATTGGGTGGAATTGCCCCACAGGACATCCCATTGCGAGGAGGCTCGTTCACAGAACCGTTGAGACATAGTTTCTGCCTTGCCGGATGCAAGGGGCATTGCGATTAAACCAGTGGGACTTTGTTTGCCCGCGGTTTAATCAGCTTCTCGATTCGAGCGTAGCAAGCGTGACGGTTTCGGCTCAGTGCCCCGACACGAAAAACAAGCATCGTCGAAACTGTAGTTACCTTTTAACTTTTTGTGTGTTCGTAAATAGTTTTTTTTTTGTTTCGGGTTAGATCACGTAAATATATAAATGTTGTGTCGTTAAAACCCGCCACCACCCGACACAGCCAACTAGTAAGGGTTGTCACGTAAACAGAACGTGGCCAATTCGTCACTGGTACAGCGCTAACCGGTTGTGTGTTGGAGAGCCAAGCTACAACAATTTACAATCTGAGTACGACGTTTCGCCAGTAATTACAACCAGCTTCATCAGGCGACAGCCAGATTTGTGGCGAAGTCCACCAGTTTCGTTGCTTAAATAGAGTGATAAATGTGATGTCATATAACACGCGTTGCTGTTATACGTAGTGAGATGGAGAAATTGTTTCGAGAAACATTAAGTCAGAGAGGAAAAACAAAAATAACCGTGGCTGCTTGCGGGTCTGCGTCTCGCCGTGGACGTTCAAAATCCCCCGGCGGTGTGACTCAACAAAGGAGCAGGCCACGTGTGCCGACGTTTGCGGTCTCGATATTGTTGACTTTCGGTAAGTTACTCGCAATTTTTACTTCATTGGGAAAAAACCACGTGCCATCATCATCATCATCATCATAATCAGTCCCCCCATTTTCTTTCCGGCGCTGCCGTTGCCCTGTGCCACATGAGGGCGGGTGGCCCCCTCGGGCTCCCGTTGGCCTAAGACTGCAGCAGCAACATTGCAATCGTTTCGAGGTGTTTTCTGAGTCGCAGAGGTATTCATTTAACCCTTTCCCATTCTGAGACGTCAATTGTATTTAGAGAGAGGTGTGTAGTCGCGCCGTTGATGTCAAACAAATTGTTACCGCAGAGAACCGTAGCGACATGACCGCACGCTGACAGCTGATGTCAAACTGTGCAACACGCCCTCCCGCACGGCCTTGTGGGAACCTTGGTACCAGTAAAGTAAATTTTATTTACCGGCAAACTTATTAAGATATTTCGTAAATTGTATTTATTTATCTGGCGTACGTGCATACTTACGTCATCGGAACGTAATCGGAAGAAAAAACTGATGACGTACACGTACTGTACGTCGTCGAGACGGGAACGGGTGAAGTGCCCTGTAAATTCCGATCCTGATCCCCACAGCTTACCCAGCCACTGCGGGTCAGTGATTTTTGCCATGGAAGAGCGAATGTTGGGCAGAGGCATCAAAGATAACTGCATCAGGACCCTTGCTGCAACGAGAAGGGGGAACGGGGAAGCGCGTCAGTGTACAATTGACATCCAAAACACATTTAAAAGGGTGCACGGAACACTTTCTCCAATTGCTAAATCACACGGAATGTGCCCAATGTCATCACATTTCAGCAGCTAAATATTTTTCAAAATACGGATGCCCTTCCCTTGCGTGCACGGCGTTCCAGGTTTTTTTCTTTCCCAACACTCAAAAAATACCTGACGAGGTGAAAAACTGTTCAGATATTGTAAGTTTGACGCTCATGAAAACGAATGTTTGGCCGATTAAAAAAGCGACGCCGCATTTCACCTTTCTCCCTGCAACTTCGCGATTCTCTCCAGCAGCACCGCGATTCTCTCTGCAGCTCCCCGATTCTATCGGTCGTTTCGAGATTCGATCTGCAGCTCAGCGATTATCTCTGCAACTCCGCGCTTCTATCTGCAGTGGTGCGATTCAAGAACTCCACGGGGTTTGCATTTACAGTGAAGCCGGCGGACTATTTTGCAATGCGATGGAATAAAATTAAAACGTGTTATGCTTATTGACTTCATCCAGGGGAGCGTCACCGAGTCTCAAGACTGTTACAAGATTTCCTGCCAAGCTTCCCTGCGTGGGGTGTGTGGTTACAACGTGTCGTCCCAATTGAGTACTTTTTAGAAAATTATTCATCGAGTTAATGTTTCGGCCAAGACCAGTTGCAATGCACGCTGTTGTTGTTGTTGAGCAAATAATAACTGTGTCGTTGTTTCAGCATGATGTCCGACGTTTCATTCTACGTTCTGGTGGGAGCTTCGTGGGGACACATATTCACGGTAAATTTCAGTTCCCAAAAAAACTCGTAACACGCGGAGCAAAAACGTCGGACATCGTACCGAAACGAGACGCGGTGACGGACCGAGGACGCATCGGGAGAAGACACGCAAGTGCGTTGCGTAGAGAAATCACCCTGTAGAGACAACTTTGTAAAGTATCGCCCTCTAGAGGTAACTTTGTAGAGTGTCACCCTGTAGAGGCAACTTTGTAGAGTATCACCCTGTAGAGAAAACTATGTAGAGTGTCACCATGTAGAGACAACTTTGTAGAGTATCACCCTGTAGAGGTAACTTTGTAGAGTGTCACCCTGTAGAGACAACTTTGTAGAGTGTCACCCTCTAGAGGCAACTTTGTAGAGTATCACCCTGTAGAGGCAACTTTGTAGAGTATCACCCTGTAGAGGCAACTTTGTAGAGTGTCACCCTCTAGAGGCAACTTTGTAAAGTATCACCCTCTAGAGACAACTTTGTAGAGTATCACCCTGTAGAGGCAACTATGTAGAGTGTCACCCTGTAGAGGCAACTATGTAGAGTATCACCCTGTAGCGGCAACTTTGTAGAGTGTCACCCTCTAGAGGCAACTTTGTAGAGTATCACCCTGTAGAGGCAACTATGTAGAGTGTCACCCTGTAGAGGCAACTTTGTAGAGTGTCACCCTGTAGAGGCAACTTTGTAGAGTATCACCCTGTAGAGACAACTTTGTAGAGTGTCACCCTGTAGAGGCAACTTTGTAGAGTGTCACCCTGTAGAGACAACTTTGTAGAGTGTCACCCTGTAGAGGCAACTTTGTAGAGTGTCACCCTATAGAGGCAACTATGTAGAGTATCACCCTGTAGAGACAACTTTGTAAAGTATCGCCCTCTAGAGGTAACTTTGTAGAGTGTCACCCTGTAGAGGCAACTATGTAGAGTATCACCCTGTAGAGAAAACTATGTAGAGTGTCACCATGTAGAGACAACTTTGTAGAGTATCACCCTGTAGAGGCAACTATGTAGAGTGTCACCCTGTAGAGGCAACTATTTAGAGTATCACCCTGTAGAGGCAACTTTGTAGAGTGTCACCCTGTAGAGACAACTTTGTAGAGTGTCACCCTGTAGAGGCAACTATATAGAGTGTCACCCTGTAGAGGCAACTTTGTAGAGTGTCACCCTGTAGAGACAACTTTGTAGAGTGTCACCCTCTAGAGGCAACTTTGTAGAGTATCACCCTGTAGAGGCAACTTTGTAGAGTATCACCCTGTAGAGGCAACTTTGTAGAGTATCACCCTCTAGAGGCAACTTTGTAAAGTATCACCCTGTAGAGGCAACTATGTAGAGTATCACCCTGTAGCGGCAACTTTGTAAAGTGTCACCCTCTAGAGGCAACTTTGTAGAGTATCACCCTGTAGAGGCAACTATGTAGAGTGTCACCCTGTAGAGACAACTTTGTAGAGTGTCACCCTCTAGAGGCAACTTTGTAGAGTATCACCCTGTAGAGGCAACTATGTAGAGTGCCACCCTGTAGAGGCAACTTTGTAGAGTATCACCCTGTAGAGGCAACTATGTAGAGTGTCACCCTGTAGAGGCAACTATGTAGAGTGTCACCCTCTAGAGGCAACTTTGTAGAGTGTCACCATGTAGAGACAACTTTGTAGAGTGTCACCCTCTAGAGGCAACTATGTAGAGTGTCACCCTGTAGAGGCAACTTTGTAGAGTGTCACCCTGTAGAGGCAACTATGTAGAGTGTCACCCTGTAGAGGCAACTATGTAGAGTATCACTCTGTAGAGGCAACTTTGTAGAGTATCACCCTGTAGAGACAACTATGTAGAGTGTCACCCTGTAGAGGCAACTATGTAGAGTGTCACCCTGTAGAGGCAACTATGTAGAGTGTCACCCTGTAGAGGCAACTTTGTAGAGTATCACCCTCTAGAGGCAACTTTGTAGAGTGTCACCCTCTAGAGGCAACTATGTAGAGTGTCACCCTCTAGAGGCAACTATGTAGAGTGTCACCCTCTAGAGGCAACTATGTAGAGTGTCACCCTCTAGAGGCAACTATGTAGAGTGTCGCCCTGTAGAGGCAACTTTGTAGAGTGTCACCCTCTAGAGGAAACTTTGTAGAGTATCACCCTGTAGAGCAACTTTGTAGAGTATCACCCTGTAGAGGCAACTATGTAGAGTATCACCCTGTAGAGGCAACTATGTAGAGTGTCACCCTGTAGAGGCAACTTTGTAGAGTGTCACCCTGTAGAGGCAACTATGTAGAGTGTCACTCTGTAGAGGCAACTTTGTAGCGTATCACCCTGTAGAGGCAACTTTGTAGAGTGTCACCCTGTAGAGGCAACTATGTAGAGTATCACCCTGTAGAGGCAACTTTGTAGAGTATCACCCTGTAGAGGCAACTATGTAGAGTCTCACCCTGTAGAGGCAACTATGTAGAGTATCACCCTGTAGAGGCAACTTTGTAAAGTATCACCCTGTAGAGGCAACTATGTAGAGTGTCACCCTGTAGAGGCAACTTTGTAGAGTGTCACCCTGTAGAGGCAACTTTGTAGAGTATCACCCTGTAGAGACAACTTTGTAGAGTGTCACCCTGTAGAGGCAACTATGTAGAGTGTCACCCTGTAGAGGCAACTATGTAGAGTGTCACCCTGTAGAGGCAACTTTGTAGAGTATCACCCTGTAGAGACAACCATGTAGAGTATCACCCTGTAGAGGCAACTTTGTAGAGTATCACCCTGTAGAGGCAACTATGTAGAGTGTCACCCTGTAGAGGCAACTTTGTAGAGTATCACCCTGTAGAGACAACTTTGTAGAGTGTAGCCCTCTAGAGGCAACTTTGTAGAGTATCACCCTGTAGAGGCAACTTTGTAGAGTGTCACCCTGTAGAGGCAACTATGTAGAGTGTCACCCTGTAGAGGCAACTTTGTAGAGTATCACCCTGTAGAAGCAACCATGTAGAGTATCACTCTGTAGAGGCAACTTTGTAGAGTATCACCCTGTAGAGGCAACTATGTAGAGTGTCACCCTGTAGAGGCAACTTTGTAGAGTATCACCCTGTAGAGGCAACTATGTAGAGTATCACCCTGTAGAGGCAACTTTGTAGAGTATCACCCTGTAGAGGCAACTTTGTAGAGTATCACCCTCTAGAGACAACTTTGTAGAGTGTCACCCTGTAGAGGCAACTTTGTAGAGTATCACCCTGTAGAGACAACTTTGTAGAGTGTCACCCTGTAGAGGCAACTATGTAGAGTGTCACCCTGTAGAGGCAACTTTGTAGAGTATCACCCTGTAGAGGCAACTTTGTAGAGTGTCACCCTATAGAGGCAACTTTGTAGAGTGTCACCCTGTAGAGGCAACTATGTAGAGTGTCACCCTGTAGAGGCAACTTTGTAGAGTATCACCCTGTAGAGGCAACTATGTAGAGTGTCACCCTGTAGAGGCAACTTTGTAGAGTATCACCCTATAGAGGCAACTATGTAGAGTGTCACCCTCTAGAGGCAACTATGTAGAGTGTCACCCTCTAGAGGCAACTATGTAGAGTGTCACCCTCTAGAGGCAACTATGTAGAGTGTCGCCCTGTAGAGGCAACTTTGTAGAGTGTCACCCTCTAGAGGAAACTTTGTAGAGTATCACCCTGTAGAGCAACTTTGTAGAGTATCACCCTGTAGAGGCAACTATGTAGAGTATCACCCTGTAGAGGCAACTATGTAGAGTGTCACCCTGTAGAGGCAACTTTGTAGAGTGTCACCCTGTAGAGGCAACTATGTAGAGTGTCACTCTGTAGAGGCAACTTTGTAGAGTATCACCCTGTAGAGGCAACTTTGTAGAGTGTCACCCTGTAGAGGCAACTATGTAGAGTATCACCCTGTAGAGGCAACTTTGTAGAGTATCACCCTGTAGAGGCAACTATGTAGAGTCTCACCCTGTAGAGGCAACTATGTAGAGTATCACCCTGTAGAGGCAACTTTGTAAAGTATCACCCTGTAGAGGCAACTATGTAGAGTGTCACCCTGTAGAGGCAACTTTGTAGAGTGTCACCCTGTAGAGGCAACTTTGTAGAGTATCACCCTGTAGAGACAACTTTGTAGAGTGTAGCCCTCTAGAGGCAACTTTGTAGAGTATCACCCTGTAGAGGCAACTTTGTAGAGTGTCACCCTGTAGAGGCAACTATGTAGAGTGTCACCCTGTAGAGGCAACTTTGTAGAGT